GTGACAGCGATGTTTACTAATATCTTCTTCTATTAATATCGTTATAATCTTCCTTTGGCTTTTTTATACCTTTCTTTTGTTTCTTAAATGATGACGCAGGAAAACTAACAAAAAGAATAAAAATTACTGATGCATTAAAATGGTTGTCAACATCAGTTATTTTAAAGTAAAAACTCAGCACGATTATTATTTGTTACATGATGATTTAGAGTAGATCAGGGAAAATTTGAAGCAATTGTACCGTAATTTTCAGTGCAAGGTACCCCTTGATTGGTACCCTCTTAATTTTGTTGAGGGCAGACTGGGGTCCGGGTGCATGAAAGAAAAACAAATAAAACAACACACAAAAAAAAAAAACACAACGATAAAGCAAATAAACAGAGCCGTATTGATTTGGCAAGGTAAGGCTTTATTGGGCTTACGTTTAATTGGTTTTTATTTAATTTAAAAAAAAAACATAAGGTACAGATTTATTTTTAATTTTAAAACTTTTGAACACGAAAGAACCTAAAACTCCTCTTACAACTGAACAAATCCCACATCTATTTATAAAACTTACAAAAGAAACAAAAAAAAGAAATTTGAAAGAAATGAAGAAAAGAATATCACGCCATTTCTTCTACCTTTTCAATTAATTGCCGATTTGGGCTACTTTCCATCACGGAAGTACGCATTTAATTTTACTGCCTTTGATTTTTATCATGAAAATTATGACACGGCCCCACGCTATACCTAATTGTGCTTGCAGGTAAATCAAATTTTTAAAATCAACGATTTAAATGATTTTTCCCATTTTGGCATATTTCTATCATTAAGACTAATGCGTTAAACAAAAAGCGCATTTTTTCTGATTATTCTCTTGACGCTTTATTATTATTAAACTAATCCTTCTTCGATCTTCTTTTTCTTACTGATTTCTTTATAATTAGCCGCAAAGCTTTTTACCCAGATTGAGGCTTAGGGCACGGGCATGGTTATGGGACCGTGGGAACTCTTTGTAGTACCAGCTGCGGGAAAGAATTTTTTTTTGAAAGAAAAAAATATGACTGTCTTAAAGCAGTTATGTGGATCACGTGTGTCACGAGATTTCGGTCTACCGCCAACAATTTGCACCAGGTATATCCAAGGCTATTTGTTGCGATATTTTGTAAGAGACCCAGATACAAATCAAAGGCCAATTTACTAATAATAATTTTTTTTTACTTATGGGCTAATATATGCTCCTTACAAGATACCCCCATGTAATATACTCCTGCGATACAATATACCCGGGTATAAATCAAGGTTTATTGTTACGTGGAATGTAAAATACCTGCACCGAAAATTACGATAAGTCGGACAGCAGTTTATTATTGCATAAGGTTTATTAGTGAAACGTAATAAAATAAATGGGAATATGCAGAGGAAGGAAGGATGTAGAGTATGTGTAGCATACGATACAAGGGTCGGATGGTAGAAGATTATGGTGGGACATTAACTATGGAATTAAAACTACGTTAGATAACTATAGCATTTAATCAATATATTAAATATAGTTTTGATTACTTAATTGATGTTTCAGCTCAGCAGAAGATGAAGTTAACTAATCAGAAGTAGATAGTAAAATGGGGCAATAAAGGCAAAGATAGAGTGTACAGTGGTAAGGGGAAGTAAAGGGAAAGGAAAAAAAGTTAGTAAGGCGGAACGGATAGAAAAAGGTAGAGGTAAAATTAGGCAAAATAAAATAGGGATGAATAGGGGATGGACGGTTAAAGGTTTGATATTTTGATTTAAGCGTAAAAGACGAAAGCATGTATTGCATAAATTTATATGAAATTCGATAATCTGCAACCAGAAAGTGTTTTAAATCATTTATTCTTATTCTTATTAAAAACAAATAATAAATATAAAACTAATTAGATAATGAAAAAATACGAAATCGTGACAGATGTTATAGCTCATTAGGTTATGATCAACAGGTAAGCAAAATTTGTTTATAAATATGACAGTTATTCACAGCAGAGTGAAAACGGAGCGCTGGGAATCAAGATCAAAATCAAGATCAAGATCTAGATCAAAATCAAGAATAAAGAATAGATATCAAAAATATAGATCAATAGCCTATATACAAAACACTTTCAAATTCGTGATACCATCATTTCCTTTTATATGCATTTTTTTGCTAAAAGCGGATAGCGATCTTAACAAAAAAGACTGTATCCTGCTCTAAACATTTAAAAAACTGGCAAAAACGTAACACAATTATGAAAGAGCCGTGGGAAAGAGATAAATATTATTAAGAAATTTTTGTTTTATAAATCAGTTATAATTTGTATAATAAAAAAAAAATAATAAATTGGGTTTATTTTATGGAGACATATCGCCATGGCAACTCCGTCAGCCAATCGAATTCAATCATATGTGTCATGTGCTCATGTTGAGCATGTGACACAACGTGATTGAATTCGATTAGTCGATTACATATGCTAAAAAAACTTAAAAAAATTATTAAAAAAAATTTATTAAAAGAATTATAATAAAAAAAAATTATTAAAAAAAGGTGTTAAAAACAGGGTTTAATATATAAAAATAAAGCCAGACCAAGCAATTTATTTTTTTTAATTTTTTTTAATTTATTTTTATTAATTATCATTATATTTTTTTTTAAAACTAAGAAACGGAACAGGGACAACAAAAAAACGGGACAAAAACGGTAGACATGGTGGAAAAAACAAGAAAAAAAACGGAACAGCAATAACAAGAAAACAGGATGAAATGAGGACAAGGTCAGACTAAAGATACAAAGAAAGAATCCACCAAGAAACGACTAGAAACCCCAATAAAAACGGTGAACCTACTCACCGAAATCAACAAATTTACCAAAAGAACCCACAAAAAACCGACAAAGAAGTTACTGAAGGAATTCACAAAAAAATGACGAAAGAACCCTACGACGAAGAACCCAGAATGAACCCACCGAAAACAACAAAGAACTTATAGAAAAACCCACCAAAACCAATAAAAACTTACCAAAAAACGACGAAGGACCTCCTTTTGAAAAGAACCTAAAAAAACCCTTATGAAAAATGATGAACCTATTGAATTAACCAACAAAAAGAACTAGAAGTACCCGCAAAAAAAAACAAAACAACCTACTGAATCACTAAAATCCATGATCTAAATGCGACTTCACGCTCCTATTGCAGCTCCAACGATGACTTCAATGATGACTCCAACAATGACTCCAACGAAAATAGAAAAAACAACCTACTGAATCTCCGAAATTCACCACGACTTCACACCCCTACTACAGCTCCAATGACCACCAAAATTCACTGTGACTTCACACTTCTACTACGACTCCAATGATGACCCCGGTGATGGCTCCAACAATGGCTCCAGTGACGCACCAAAAAAAAAAATAAATGTTAATAATAAATTAAAAAAAAAATAAAACAAAAATAAATAAAAAAAATTAAATCAAAAATAAAAAAAATTTTTTATATGATCAGCAATTTGTAAAATGATTGGCCGATCATATAGGGTCACCATGGCGACATGTTACCATTAACATTTTGCCTAATAAATTAATAAGTAAATAAATTTATTATTATATAATGACCTAAAAAATTGATAATAGAAAATATTTAATATAAATATAAAAAATTAATATTTATAACTTAATATTATAATGTACTAATTTTAAAAGATAAGTTTAAAAAAAATTTAATAAAATAAATTATTATATATAAATTTTTTACTTTTTATATTAATATAGTTGAGCCAGAATAAACGAGAAGACCTATACTTATCTATATAACAAATACTAATACTTTAATAAAAACTACTTACCAAAGCAGACTTAAAAAAAAAAATTTTTTTTAATGGTTTGATTATATAGAATTTATTGTTTAAAATAAGCTTAGCTTGGGCCTTTAAGTAAAGTTATAACAGGAACTTTCTAATTCAATAGATAAAACAATTAATTAAACTAATTATATTTATTTAAATTTTTGCAACTATAAAATTTTTTTTGCAAATTTGTAAAGAAAAACTAATAGTTACAAAAATTAAAATATATACTGTATCTCATGATTTACTAGGTCAATGTTCAATATTTAAAGTACTATTAAAGTTAGAAAGTTCTTGTTTACAACTTTATTTAAGAGTCTAAACCAAATTATTATAGTAATAAAAAAAGTTAAATAGTTTTAATTATTTAATAGTAATAATATTTTGAGAAAATTTTATCTACATAAAATGTTGTCAAATAAGAGAGCTTTATTTTAAATATTAATATTCTTAGAAAAACTTTAGTATCTTGAAAACATAACATCAAATTTTAAATACTGGTTGTATATCGTTTATTGAATCCGAAATTAATATCATTTTTTAAATAATGCATAATGATTACAATAGCGTATCAACTACCGGTAGTTTCCGCCCAATAAAATTTTTAAAGTGTGCCTCACTCGGATATCATATGGGGTGCTCCAAGTTAAAAGGGCCCATTTTTACATATTCGGACTGATCCGGGATTAATCAAATTTCACGATTTTGATTGGTTAAAGACGGCAGATGACTATCGGATAATCTCGTGACGTGTTGGCTCTACGCAGCCTTATGTAATTTTTCTTTTTACATTATCTTGATTTTTTATTATGCAAATCGACTTTCATTTATAATTAAAAAAAGTCAATCATGTCAAAATTTATGTGATTCTAACGAAAACTCATTTTTCAAAAAATTGTAAAAATGGGCCCTTTTAACTTGGAACACCCCATATGACCTCACACGAGATGTGAGATGACCTCATGCAGAACGATGCAGAACGGATATTCATTTGCGACATATAATTTATCTAAAATTGGCGCATTGATAATATACACTGTATATTAATATATATATACTTTGATAAGTGTTTTGATAAAAAAACAATAAATATATATTTATTATGTAAGAATCGGTTTTTTTTAATATGAAAATTTAAGAAAAAGTTGAAATGAAAATTTAACAATATCTGGTGACAGTGAGATTCGAACTCACGCCCCATTGCTGAGACTGCGACCTGAACGCAGCGCCTTAGACCACTCGGCCATGTCACCTTGATAGTAGGTATGATGAAGTCTTTTCTTTTTTTGATAATATCATATGTCGAATATGGAAATGATCTATTATATGAGCTAATGTTATCATGTTACATATATCACTTTTTAATATATTGATTTACAAAACGTTTGTGGATCAAAATTCAGATTAAGTTCTAGTAGTTCAACTTTTAATTTGTAAATATTATTACTTCTTTAACATAATCTAATACAATTACATCAAAAATAGTAATAAGAAAAAAAAAAACTTATTTAACGTTAATGACTTTGAAAGTGATGATATATATAATTAAATTATGACATCATTTATATTCATTAAAGTACATAACAAAAAATTTTAATATTGCAAGATTCTACACCTAAAGAAAGTTAAACTAATGTATAATAATTTCACCGATAACCCAACTTATCGAAACCTGTTTGTCGACGAATTTTTTGAATTAGAGCCCTACGCATGAATTGCTCTCGCGCTAGTGTGCGAATATTCTAATTTAGATGATATAAAACACAGATGTTTATATATAAACTTAAATATACACATAAAAAAAAGTTTCATAAATTAAAATCATTGATTTCATAATTATGATTAATACCTTCATATATGTATTCAAATCTACCCTCTCAGTGGATAAAGCTTTCCCTAAATAATAAATAGTATCTTCAATTGCATTATCTTCGGCCACCAATTCAAATAACCTAAAGGTGATATTTGTTAAATACCAATAATGAATGGGATTTAAAATAAATGAAATGAAATACTCAACTGATTGTATACTATGGTCGTTCCACATAGAACATCATCAACCGAAACTTCTGGCATGTTTGTGACTTTCTCTATTAACTTGTCAATTTCAGCCACTTTATTCTTTAAAAATTCGGTTTTTTCATTTATTTTATTTTCTAAATTAAGTAAATGTTCACGTTCCTGGTTAATGTGTACTTTGCTTTTATTTAGTTGTTCACCACAACCCATTATTCTATGTATTTCTGGTGTCGATATTTCAAAGTATTCATTACAACTTTCTTTTACTTTATCATAAACTGCAGATTGTAATTTTACCAGTTCTGGATTTTGTGTTGTTGGTAATGGTGCAGGTTGTGGGATAAAAGCTGGTGAAGGCTCATCAAGTATACTTGAAATATGAAGCTGTGAAGAATCTTCACCAGATAGAAACCTTGGTAATGAGTTAGAATGTTGTTGTGACGGTGGCTTTTGTTGATACATATGATTTTGAGACTTTTTTATGAAGGTTATATAAAATATAAGTTAATATATACATAAAATATATTCAATATAAAGAAACAAAAAGGTATTTGTGATGAATTGAGGATAGAAATTACCGGGATCATGTACCGTGGATTTGGAGGAGGAGCAGGTGCAGCTTGACTAAGACTTCTCGGCCTACTGGCCGGTTTATTTGTTGCAACAGATTGATAAGGTGGAGGAGGTGGTAACGGAGGTGGTGTTGGAGATTGTGGATGATAAGCATGAAGAACTGGGGACTTTATAATATTCTGACCTCCATTAGTTGGTGGTTGATGTAATAATTGTGAAGGTTGAGAAGTGGGTTTTGTGTATACAGGTGGGTTATGGCCAAACACGTCTTGTAGAATTCGACATAATGCAACAATATTTGATTCCTTCAAAATCAAAAAAAGGTAAATATGAATTTTCGAGCTAGTAAGTAATAAAAATTTCAAATAAGTTTAATAAAACGAATACAAACCTCCTGTGGATTAATTCCCCAATGTTGCAAATATGTATGTTGACATCGACCACTCACATCAACAATTTTTGATGGTCTTACTAACATATTAGAAGTTGGAACCACGAATACGATGGGTGCAGCCATAGGATATTCAGTTGGGATCCAAATGTTGACTGGAATGTTGTATGGAGTTGATTTGAAAGTAATCGGAATTGTTCCGTGAAGACATAACAAAGCTTTACTTTTGCCATCATCGTATGCTTGAAGGGAAAAGTATAAGGATCAATATGTCTATTGTTAGTTCCAAAAGTCCAAACGAACTTGCTTTATATCAGAAAACTAGAAATTCGAAATTTTTTTTTTTGATCTAGTGAAACTATAATAGTACATAGAAGTATGATCATCCCATTTAATAAAGTAACCTTTGTTACTTACTATATGTATCTGTCTTTAAAGTCAACGATTTGCCGAACACTGATATGGTGGTGTCAACGTCTCGAAATGCTCGATCGGGATGTGCGTACTATAAGGATATAGTTAACACACAGCTTTCCAGAAAGAGTAGCAGTTAATACAAAATAATGTACTTACTGGAACTTTTTCCAAAGCATTGCGAAGCCATGTCCGTATTGAATGTAGATCTGTAGCCATTGGAAAAGTTGGCATGGTTTATAAACCAACCAGATATTCGTTATAATATACGCATTATAGTACGTCACTTGACCTTACGTCATTAAGTAGATTATCAAAAGGAGGTAGTCGTGTTACAGTGATAAAGTCCAAAGTGAAATTGGCGAAACTTGAATGTTTTTTTTACAAGACTCAAAATTCTGAGTCACTGTTTTCATAGTGATAAATTTTTGGGTCATCTAAATCCATTTATAAGGTTTACAGTTGTTTTCATAAATTCAGGCGAAAAATTGACCGACCGAATATTTGCCGGTTCGATAAGTTTTGATCGGCAGTGATCATTATCGACAAACTTATCGAATCGGCAAATATTCGGTCGGTCAATTTTTTACCAGATATCCCAGAATTTACAGTTTTTCTATAAAATTGATACAAATATAATATTTCAAAAGCATATTCATTGCCATATAATTGAAATAAAATTTGGAAAGCTTGCCCGCTCGAGTATTAATTTTTGTGTTGAAGAGCTTCATTACTTCAGAAAGACACGTAAGTCTAACTGTTTCTGAACTTTTTTTAAATGAAATCTGCTGGCTGATAATAATAAAATGAATATACTTTTTTTGATGTACAGAGCTGAGTCAAGATTTATAAAGTTTGTGTCCAGAGATTTAAAGACTTTTTTATGTTTACATGTATCACTAAATACATACTTATCAAGATCGTAAGACTGCTCTAGAGAATCTATAACGTCTGTACTGTACATTAATACAGTGTTGGTCACCTTTATAAGTCCAGTAATTTGAATTGGAACTGGACTTAAATATTCCAATTGGAATTTATAAGTCCAATGTTCCAATTTATAGGTCCAGTTTAACAAAGTTGGTCCAATTGCCCAACACTGATAATAATATATAAAAAAGACTTATTGAATTCGGCCGAATTATTAATCTTTTAAAATCTTTTAATTGAACAAAAGGCATACCGGTATTTCTGCACTTGTAGATTATTCAATTCAAAAAGTTAACTAGAAAATTAAAAGTCTTGTTAGATTCTTTATAAACGCCGAGGTTTTCTTGTATTACGAATTTTGAATTTAGTTATCATGTGATTATGAAAATTATTTATTGAGTTTTTTATCTTCTCAGAGTACCCTATGATCGATCTTTGGGTAATTTCACCCTACAACCAGGTTCAAGTTCAAACGTCAGAGACTAGCTCTCAGGGTCCGGGCGTTGCCTCGGGAATAAGGGTTTAATTTTTTTTTGAAGTTCAAATGAACCTGACTTGGGTTCTGATGAACCTGACTTGAGTTCAAATGAACCCGGTTTGGATTCAAATGAACCTGAATTAGGATCAAATGAATCCGATTTCGAAATGTAAATTGGGTTGGGTTCAAATGGACCCTGTTTGGGTTCAAAGAACCCAATTTCGAAATGTGATTTTGGTTCAAATATACCCGGACTTGGGTTCAAATGAACCCGAATTGGGTTTATTTGAACCCGATTTAGTTATTTTTTTAATCAGTTTTGACATTTAATTTTTTAATTTATTTTTTAATATTTTTTTTAATGGATAGGATTTCACTTTTTGCACTACTGGTAGTACAGTTCGAAGAATAGTTTAAAATCTAAAAAAATTATATATTTAAATAAGTTTTATATGATAAATTCTATAGTATATTATTAATAAAGTTGTTGAAAAGAATTTTTTTAAACTACTATTTTTTGCAAATTTTAGTATACACAAAGTTTTACTAATTAATTCTAATTTTATGAACTAAGTAAACATGTACAGCACCTAAAATTGCATCAAATTAGAAGAGTTATTTTTATTTTACTTGAAATTTGAAGAATAGATGCATAATTTTGGATTTTTGATCAAAATAGTCAAATTTAAGCATCTTTTCTCCAAATTTCAAGTAAAATAATAACAAGACTGCCAATTTAATGTATTTTTAGGCTCTGAACAAGTTTACCTAGTGAAATAAGTTAGAATTAATTAGTGAAATTTTATGAATCATAAGATTATATAGAATTTTATTAATAAAATTATATATAATTTTAGGGAATTGCTATTTCCACCCCCACTTTTGCTAATGCCACCCCCCAGCCGGCCTCCGACCCTTCCAACCTAGTCATGTGCAACGTAGTACAAATGGAAATCACGTGACTTTCGGATTCGGGCATTTTAAGCATGATGGACAATCGTGGTAGTACAAACTTCCAAACTTGAAATTTGTGACTCAGGACCGATCTGTCCGATAAAAGTACAGGGATGATCGATCACATGAAATTAAACAATTGGTTATATCCGTACACATGATAATTGGCCAATCATTTTTATAAAATTACAATAACGTTCGAAAAAACTTTATTTACTAAATCAAAGATATCTCACGATCCAACAGTCGGAATTTGACGAAACTTATACCATTCGATTCGTCTCATTGAGACGAATCAAATGGTATAAGATTCAACAAATTCTATCCACTGGAACATGAGATATTAATGATATTATAACCCCTTGTTCGCTTATATATTTTTTAATAAAATTTTATTTTAAAAACGTGTATATTGTTTCTACTTAATCTATCCAATAAATATATCTTGCTAATCGTTTCTAAATCATTTCTATTTGAATTTAAATTGTAGTAGT